GCTACCAATCACTGTCATTGCTGCCATCGACTGACACCGAAAATGCTGAATTCTGGAGTGCAGCTATCGTTTTACTTTGTGCATCGCAAGCAATTTTGCTCACAATAGAAGATGTTTTCGTGCGAGCACAAGCATATTTCTGAGCAATCTTGGAGTCGGGAAACATCCGTCTGAAAAGTTGACCGGCGTGATCGGCAGCGCTTAGCGGCACGTTGTGTTCGATGAGGAATGCAGTAAACAAACACTCTGCCAAAATGACATCGGCATCCGAATTCGTAGCCGAATTTGAAAAAAAAATCATCCACTTTCTTTGACGTTGTCGAAGCCGAAGCATTAACTTCATGCTTTTTAGACTTAACATGCTTCACAATGTCACTTCTTCCACCGTGACTTATTATGAAGTCCCACACACACACGTTGCAAAATGCATAGTTATTTTCTTTGAAGGATTCTTTAATTGTTGAAAATTCGGCTTTGTAGGCAGGCCGAAAATATTGAGAATACGTTTTTTTTTTTGAACTCATTTCGTAACAACGACGTATTAAGAAAATTCGTAGCACGTGCAAACAAAAAAAAAAAAAAAAAAAAAAAAAAAAAAAAGAGAAAACGACATCCACGCTCGCTGAGTAATTCCCTTGCTGCTGAAGCGAACGCGAAAAAAATAATCTGGCGCCCACAAAGAAAAGAGTGGGAGAAACAAGTTCAGCGCATTGGATTGGCTGGTTAAGCGGCGAGTTGGGAGAAACCGCAGGTTACTGGATTCGAAGTAGTCGGTAGTTGGCGGTAAAACACGATGCAATTGGCGAAAATCGCTGAATTGGCAAAAAATTCTAAAATTTCGACAAAAATCACTAAAAACACTTGAAAAAGGAAAAAAAATCGTAAAAAATGGATTACGATCGTAAAATCGTAAAGACAAACGCATTTTCGTAAAAATTACGAAAAATTCGTAAAAGTTGGCAGGTATGCAAACTGAAAACACAACATAGAGCAACCAAAATGGTGACAATTGAAAGTCAGTGAACAAGAAAGAGTGCGCATGCACGGGACGCCTACCACAGTGCTGTGACGGCGCTAGAATGAAACGGTACTTAGTTTCCGAATACGGTACGTATATTTATAAGGGGGAAGTGAAGTTGATGATGAATGGGAAAATGTGATAAAAATGGTTCCAATAGTAAAAGTATTTATTTAAACTCGGAGATTCTTAATGAGTGACATTTGAGTACTGACAACTAATAGATTTGTACATATGTGATATTTTTTTTAAATATATATAAACATGTGCTGCTTGGACACCTACAACAGTAGAACAACTTACATAATATGAGACACAACAAATTTGTAGTTAAGTATGCAAAAGACATCACACTGAAATTAAAATGTGCAAATTAAAGGAATAAGGTCTCTCTCTGTAAACAAATCCTCTTTTCCTAATCCATTCTTTTTCATTTAAACAATGTGTCTCATATGTGTAAGACATATATATATGTTGTCTCAAATTATCTAAGATATATATATCATGTATGTATATATCTTGTAATAATATGAGCTGTTGGTAATAATATAATACATATATGTATATTACACACTAATGTGAATATACATATATACATTATGTATATTCCCACTAGCATGTGAATATTGTTTTAATCATGTTAATTTTTACTTATGACAAATAGTGTTTACTGCTTATTAAAAATGATGTACTTCTGAAATGAACAACGTAAACTGTATGAAATTTTGGTATATATTCTACCAGTGATATTTATATTTACATATATACTATATATTAATTTACTGAATCTGGGCACATTATGTCACTACTAACCGTAAATTCTAGAAGATTTGTTTGCAGTTTATGTGAAGAAAATTGTGGCAAATAGCAATTATATATCATAAATTATTCCACTTAATACAGAACTTGAACACATAGCCAATTTCAACATTTTTGGTTCATATATGAATTTAAAATGACCCCCAAGTCTTTAGGCTAAAAATTAAGAGGTTATCTCATATTCAGGAAAGTATGTTATGTGTATACCCAAACATATACATACACAAAGGATGTGTATAAATTTTTAGAACAATTTCACTAAAGAATTTTTTTTAAAAGCAATTGTTTTGGAATAAAAATTTCTGCAACAGCTTATTATTTGAAATGAAAAATGTGAAAATTTTAAATTTATTCTTCTTCCAAAGTGTTGCATGCAAACAAGCTGTGGATTAAATGATACGTTTTTTATGATTAAATGATACAGGAAAGTATGTTATGTGTATACCCAAACATATACATACACAAAGGATGTGTATAAATTTTTAGAACAATTTCACTAAAGAATTTTTTAAAAAGCAATTGTTTTGGAATAAAAATTTCTGCAACAGCTTATTATTTGAAATGAAAAATGTGAAAATTTTAAATTTATTCTTCTTCCAAAGTGTTGCATGCAAACAAGCTGTGGATTAAATGATACGTTTTTTTTTTTTTTTTTTTTTTTTTTCCCCCCCACTTTCTGAAGAGAAATATTCATCTTCCATAATTCAAAAACTTTGTAAAGTGCATCATAAAAAAATAACTGACATTATTAATCTGAAAGGGAAAAACTGTCAATCAATACTTCTACACGAAAAGAAGACTCTAAAAGAATGTGATACACAGTTTCTAATTTTTTTAAAGGTTAAATCATTCATAACAAGATAAAAATCTGCCAATGTAGATATCAATTGCAAAGTCTTTAAATACATCTGTAGTAATAAATAATAATAAACAAATATATACAAGTAGAAAAAGCTACAAAGCATCATGTTTACTAGCTTTTGCACAGACACACAGCTCAACGCAAAACAATTTGAAAAGCCTGGTATGAAAACTACTTGGCAGGAGATAAACAGAAATACATTGTGACCCTTGATGAAGCATGGGTTTATCTAAAAGAGAGTAACAAATAAAGGTTTCTTTATTATCATAAATGTAGAGAAAAAAATTGTACAAACTTAGTTCCATCAATGCAAGAAAGCTTCAGTAGGGAATTTATGATTGTCACAGAATTCTCGTACAGTAGGAAATTAAAAATAAGAAGAGTGGAAAAAAAATGTTGAAATCAAAATAATGTACTATCAAGAGAAAGATTTACATCCAATTTTTACAGAAGAAATTCCATTTCTGTACCTCAGTGATTTCCAAAGAGTGAAACTTTACCAAGACATAGGAACAAGTCATACTTTAAAGAAATATGAAATAGAAGTAAAGAAAAAACAACTTGGAGAAAAGTTATACAAAACCCAGACTATTTTGAATGAAGTAACAAAAAGTTATTTAAAGGTGGCAACATATAAAAATAATTCAATAATTTTTTGCCCGACTTTTGTGACATGTTACCTTCTTTACAAAAAATTATTTATATATTGTTACGAATTTTGTACATAGATTATGCTAGTGCAATTATATGTGAAACATGAACATGAAAATCTAGAGACAATGCTCTGCCAGAAAAGTAAGAATACAAGGGCAAGTCTATTTAACATTGAGTAAATGGCTGTTTTACTAATTTGGCGATATACCACCACATTGGAAGTAGTTTTGGTGGCCTTTTTTTTTTTTTTTTGCTGTAATTGGTGAACAATCGCTAAAAGTCGCCAAATTTGGTGACATTTTGGTCCTGTCCTTGTATAACTGTAATGGATACTGTAACTCAATCAGCCCTCATATGGCTTTATGCCTCGTGCATTTTTTCGTTACTAAAATATTGGGAAGTGCATCTAGCTAAATGTTTTCATTTATATCATTAGTCCAAAGGAGTTTTGTCCCTGAAAGACTATTGTTTTCGTTTTGCGATTTTACCTTAAATCACTATAAATGTACGTTTCACTTTTCAAACTGTTGCCACCAAATGTTAAAGTCCTGCATTATATTTGAAGAAATTAAATAATGAAAAATCTGCATAAATGTATATATATTTCTTGCATTGTGATAAAACAACGGTACATAGAGACATCGAATTTTGAATGACGTAATCCTCCTACAAATATGGGCATGTGGAAGACCAAATTTGAAATTTGGAATTTGTTTCATTACTGATTTCATATTTTGTAAAACTTTAACAAACTCAAGGATTTCAAAGTGATCAATGGCAACACTCTAATGGTGGGGGGGGGGCAACCTTTTTATCTCCAACGCACGGAACTGTGTATCGGAAATTCTAAATATTTGCTCATTTTAAAATTATTTAGCGACATTGCTGTTGAACTGAATTTTATGGTTTAAGTGCAAAGAACATAATATTTAATAAATAAAGATAACACATAAAATGTTAAAAAAATTTTTAAAATGCCCCTTTGAACATAATTTAAAATCTGAAACATTTCAGTTTTTTTTTTTTTTTTTTAAAGGAAGAATGTGAGAAAACACTCTAGCAGGTGTAACGTTGCGGAACTTTCATGATGGAAAAATGAGTGATGCATCTTACTCACTCGGCATGTCTCAGGAAAAAGCTGTCCTTGTTCTGTATTGATCCTCATTTTAAATTATTCCACCATGCAGCAGAATTTTTAAATTGGACTTTAATTACCTACAGATAATTATTTTTTACTTTTATATTTGTAATTTTGTTTTCATGTGTATAGTTATAATTTTAGTATTTCACATGTTGCCTTTATTCCTATTAATTTGGTATTCTTTACATTAATTAATACATATTAAAACTTAGTATATTAAATATGTAACTTCACAAATTTGGTCAATATATTAAAATGCTGATTTTATATGAATTTTTTTGTAAAATTAGGCTTGACTGCTGAAAATGCGTGGGCCGGTGGCAAAGTTCCATTTCGTGGGGGGAGGGGGGATTTGGTCATGTGACTGATTTTCGTTCTCCGCATGCTGTCCGCATGGTCCTCAAAGGATTAAATTTCACTACCAAAGTGAAGTAATTATATAAACTATAATAAATATAATTTAAATGATAAGTGTATGAATTTTAAAAAATTAATGGTTGTCTTACGATTTAGATGATTTTTTCTTCTTTCCAACAATGGAAGATTCTTCATCTTCCTCATCTCCACTTGCTACGGGAGATGAGGGTTGTCGCTCGGAACTAACAGGAGAATTTGAACCAGATCTTTCAGGAATGCCATTCACAGATACCTTATCTTCATTATCACTTTTATTTTCAGCATCAGACTCTACGTCACCTCCATCATTATCATCTAAAACATAAATAATGCAAAATGCAATAAATTATTTCAGGTCTTCTTCTAAAAATTTAACTTTTTTGCTAATTTTTATTTATTTACAGTTACATGTCATAACAGCATTAACAAGCTTATTTAAATTTCCTTATTCTTAATCTTTTTTTTTAAATATCTATTAACCAATAATTACATAGAACATCAAGCAACGAACTGCACGCATACTTCGCTTACTGCATTTCCTCTATCAGTGGCAAATTTATGAAGTGGTATGAATGAAATCCATTTATGAAGTATATTTTGGGGAACTTTGATAGGGTAAGCACCTCATCTTAACTTTTTCTGGGAGTTAGGGTTTATATATCCCACTTGTTCACTCCATTAAATAAAGATTAAAAAAATGAAGTTCACTATGGAGATTTAAAATTTGCTGCTTAAAACGAAGAAGGGAATGGCAGATCCTGTATATTTGTTTTTGTCTTCCTTGCTAATTGAATAGTTGACTAAATGGCTTCAATACATAAAATATACTATAGTCCACATGAAAAGTTAAGATCTGGAGTATGTTTGCTATTTATTAAAAATTAATTAACAATTTGGGGCTCTTGGATCAAGGGACTTCTCATTACTGCAACCTCTGCAACTCTATAAATCTGCCTCTGTCTTGACTTTTGCAATAAATAAAGTACCTTTGTACAAAGCAAACTTGCAAAGTCGATCGGTTCCATTTTGTAAACCATATCTGCACATTTATTATACTTCAGTGTAAATTACTTTCATAACTTTTGGACTATTTTAAACTTTAATGTTATTATTAAATTATAGTTAAGCCATATAATAAACATGCAATAGATATTAAATGTTTAGTAACTAATACAGCATTTATTACTTAATTGCAGAGATTAATATACATTTTTAATTAGTTTTAAAACACTTTTTTTAATTTTCACCATTTTTTAAACTATTTCTCTCACAAATTTCTCATTTAAATAATTTGACAAATATTATTGAAAACAAATATTATCACAAAAAAAGTTTTTGCTGTATTAAAGTATATTTAAAAAATTCATTTATTTAATACACTAGTATTTGATTCTTAATCACAACAAAAGTCTGACTATCCAGAAAGCACTGGAAATGATAAATGCCAACCAGATATGTAAAAATTCCAGATAATTGAGCACATAAAACAATTCAATTCATAGAAGAAAAACTAAATTAGTAGAAGAAATTTCCAAACTAAAATCATAAAAATAGTTGCTCTGTTTGCTATCAAAAATCTAGATTTTAAATTATGTAAGGTTTTAAGAGAAAAATGCATTTAGGATGCAAAAGCTGACATATTTTTGAAAGGCTTAAAACATATAAAAGCAAAATATCTTTATCAATTTAAAATTTTACTGTATTTCAAATACTTTCACTTATATCCAAATTAGGATCATTTGTTTTACAGATCATAGATTCCTCGCAGTGTTCAAAGAAGAAATGATCAAGAAGAAATTCAAAGGTCATATTCTCCTTTTAAAATAAAAGCTGAAACTAATTAACCTTGTAATGAAAGGCCTAAATTAAAAGACTTCTTGAATCAAAGAGCGAAATTAAAGCATAAGTTATTAAAGAAAATTGTGATGTAGCCGTTCCTCAATAGACACTAATGCCGGCTAGCTTTAAAAGGATTTATTAACAGATCACACAGGAACGGTTACAAACAAAAGAAATATACATAAAAATGAAATATATACCAAATGGAACATCAAACATTTAAATAACATAACATAGTAAACTATCATCATGGCGGCTGGAGGTCGACTGACGTTTTTTCATATCGCCACGAAATGGCATTTAAATAAAATATTTCAGTTACAGTTCATGAGTTCATGGCATTGAATAAAATAGTCCAATTACACTTAAATAGGTCTGTTACAAAATTAAAATTGCTATTCCAGCACAATATACAAACTGTAACTGAAATAGACTTACTGCATTATAGCACATAATAATATACATAATTTGTATTTACTCACAGAAACTAAGTAATGTAAATATGTACTATTACACAATAACCTCAGAAAAAATTGGCAAAGTTTCAGAATGCCCAAGCTCTGGCAACCGTGCACAGTTCTTCAGGCAACCAAGCACATGACAATTCTTCAGTTTGCACAACCAAGCTATGTGCTTATTCTTTTTGTTATATTCCAAATTTCTTCAGTTTAAAATCCTGATATTTTTGTCTTGAGCTCAGTTTTAGAATATGTGCTTCTGAAATTTACCTGCATTGGTAGCAAGTGCAGTGAAATTTATGTAGCAATACAGAATTTTGGCACACAACTGCTAAAGGGAACAACTACCTCAAACTGCTTCTTAAAGACAACACCAAGAAATTCCCACCAGAACAAAATACAAAAGCCTTCTTGTAAGTAAATTTATTAATTACTTCTAGCTTTACACAGATAAGAGTGATTAGTTTAAAATTTTCATATAATACAGTCAAAAGTCCTTAATTCGGACACCCATAATCCGGAATGATCTATAATCCGGACCTCAAAGCTACAAACTTTCTGCGCATGCGTCGCGTTGACAGAACCTTTACGGCTGCGAATACACATGTGCGCGTGCGCAAAATACATTTACGAATGGGTGTTTAATGTGTAACGGACGGTATAAGCTAAGCTAAAATTATCTAATTCAGTTAATGTTGCAGATTGCGTTGTTCCTTAATCTTCGATTTGGATTCGGCTTATTATTTTTTGCAGACTGCTAGAGCAATTTTATAAAAGTAAGCTTAAACTTTCGATTATGCCAAATAGAATTTCTGATATATATTTACTAATATGTAAAGGATCTACAAAAGGAAAGTATGTTTCGAAGTCCATTAAACAAAAAGTGGAATTGCTGCAAAAAATGGATAAAGGCATATCCTTTGTTTATCTAAACTTTAACGTTTGTTTATCTAAACTTTGTTTATCTTTAACGCGGGGGCGCGCAATGAATTGGAAGTTGATCTGTCAGCACTATCCTCATCTTCAGGGCAGATGTTTTTATTTTATTTGGCTTATAATTCCTTACTAAATGTAGTAGTTCATCTCAATGTACTCCGTCTTTGATATGATTTAAATCAAATTCCTCGTCATTATAATTTGCTTCCGATAGCGAAGAAAGTAACAGAGGTTTTTGAAAACGAAAAAATTTTGATTGACAAATTAGTTAGTATTCTCGACACAGCAATTATAGAACTTGAACAGCGGAACTTTGTAACTGAAGAAGAAATTATTTCTGTTTAATAGAATTAAAGAGAATGTATTGTCACATGAAATGAAGCAACTTAAACAACTTACATTGAAAGAAATGTTTAATAAAGTAAACAAATAAATATTAAGCTTTTTTTTTTTTTTTTTTGTAAATTTTGATACCCTTTAGATCATAATTGTTCTTTATTTCATAAATTACGGTTTCATATTTTCATATTTTTAATTTTATAATTTCTGCATGCCATCTTACCAGATTTAAACTGATGATCTATAATCCGGAATCGCCGAAGTCCCGACTAGTCCGGATTAACGACTTTTGACTGTATGACATTCCTTGGTCTTTTGACCTTTTGACTGTATGACATTCCTTTTTCCATTAAAGAGACACCAGTTTGTGTGTGAGAGAGAGTCACATACATGTACATCGTTTTCGGCTGTTGTCTCTTTAATGGAAAAAAGCCCATTTCTTTAACCCTTCGGCATTTGTGAGATTTAGCAATCTCACATATGTGCAATATCTGTCAGTCATAAATTTGTAATATGAGCTGCGTGAGTTTTCGCCTACTGGGGTGCATAACTGAAATGTAAGCTGATCTCGTTCATGACCATCACAAAAGGTTAACATGACCTGACAAGGAACAACAAATTAAAAATTTAATTTAAAGCAAAACTGTATCAGCAGCAACTTAGAATAATGATAAATATATATACATATTTACAACAAAAATCTAACTTTAATTTCAACCACTAAAAATTCCTCTTTAATATAGTTATTTTCCTTTTCTATTCCCCAAATGATGGAAGTATGTCATTTTTAAATTAATGGCTACCATATGGTTCTTATATAATGCAGATCATGCATGTATTTAGTTAATGATAAGAAAAAATAATTTACCCACTTATAACTCAAATCAAAACTTTTATTAACTTATGTAATAAGGCGATACTATTTCCCTGTTCTGAGACAATATGGAACTTCGCTATTTTTAATCTAACATTAGTAAAATAATCTTCCTCTTCAAATGTTTGCCTTCATCCCCCAATTAACATGTAATCTTTCATCTCTTGATTTCCTTTAAATATGTGAAAAATTAACTTGCAATTATTGAAAATTGGGTGCACTTTTCTTGGCACTTATATTTTTTGTTATGCTTATGTAAAGATCTTTTAATGCCTACTAAATGTTGCAAACATGCCTTAGTGAAAGAAGGCATTTTGGCAACATTTAACAGCCATCATATCCAGGACATCATGGAAAATTTCTATTTACACATATAAGATAAAAAAATGTATAAAATAAAACCCTAACTTTAATTTTAAGAGCTTTTTACATCTCTTAATTAATTTAATTATTTCTCTTTTCTATCCTAAAAGTGGTATTATGCTAATAATAAATCTTTCTAATCAAATCATTTTCAAATCATCAAATAATTTTAGTTTTTTTCTTTTAAATAAAATTATGCTGCCCCTTTCAGGCAAAGTGGTGGTTTTAGAACATTTATTAGAATGAGGCATAGTTATCATGGTCCCTAACGCCAACTAGTGGGTGGTGGAGATTTTTTTCGACAATGATCAAAGGAGATTGAAAGATGCATGGATGAATACATATAAACCACTTCAAGAATAAAGAAACGTTTAACCAGCCATGTTTGTAATTATTTCCTTATGAATTGGCTTTCACCAATGTCATTGATGAGAGACAGATATAATAGCTATTAAATGAAAACAGTAGGCTCTTTTTTTTAAACCTACCCTTATTTTTTACATTATTGTTCTCACATTATATTAACCTTGCCATGTCCAATACATACAGAAACAATGAGGAAATAAATTATACCTTTCTCCTTGTCACTATCAGCAGCCATTTCATTATCAGAAGAAGCAGCCTGCTTTTCAGAATGCTGCTCATCTTCATCAGCACTTTCTATATTAATTTCAGGAATATTCTCCTCTTGTTCTGATTCTTCACCTTCACTATGCTGCTTAGCTTCATCTTCTTTCTCACTGTGCTCTGATTCATTACCCTCTTCATCAGTATTAGCACTTGCTTTTTCTTCATCAGGTGCTGTATCACTTTGATTTCCTTTTCCTGCCTCTTCATCACCACTCTCTTCACCAGCACTTACCTATTAGAATAAAAAGAAACTGACTTAGCAACATCACAAAAATAATAAAATCATACCTAAATGGCCCACCAGCAGCTGAGAAGTCACTAAACACTGGTACTTCGGTCTGAGGTATGAGTCCCGCAAACGGGCTGTTTTGTATGGAGATTTTCACGAGTTTCCCCATGTGTAGCATATATACGAACCAGATTCCCTTATAAAGTCCTACACAAAGGCACCCCTTCCCTTAGGCAGATAGCCCTAAAGGCTTTGTTGTAATTACATAAATCAAACCAAACCTAACTAAACAAATGTCAGTCCCAACTTGATAAAAATAATTTAAAAAAACATAGAAAAATAGCAAACTGGCATTGTTTTAGAACTGATAGTTACAGCAGCAACACAATTTACTTGAACTTGGTATAAGCAAAGAGCCATTTAAAAAAATACTTCTTCAAAGACAGTTTACAATTACAACTTTTTGTCAATTAAAGATAGAAAAAAAAAATTTAACTCATTACTAGACAGCATAGAAAGATCACACAAGATATGAAATGTACGATTTAAAACATCTTTTATTAATTACACTAAGACTTTTAAATTCTACATATGTAGAAAGGAAAAATATTTTTAATAATGAATCAACTTTAAATAGTAACTAATTAATATATGAAAGTTCAGTAGAATAGAATGGTGGCAAAATGGAGCTTATAAAAAAGCAAAAACCTTTGTTAAGGCTCAAAGACAAAAACATAAAAATTTTTTCTTCACAAGATAAACTTATAATAAATAAAAAAAATGTCTCCCTTGTCAAGCGACTTTTTTTATTTTAGGCAAGTTTTGTTTTGGGAGAGCCTTATATTTTGTAGTATTATTTTGAGAATTGCCATTTCTCACACCTATTTTTAACAGTGGAAGTAATAACCACATCTCCATTTACTTAAGGTATTTTATAAATTTCAACACAATAAACTCTAGAAGCTTAAGCAACTACCCTGAAAAATTGCACTTTAAAATTTTAATAATTGGCTATACTACATATTTAAAGCCTGTCGAATCTCCCTTTAAAGTGGGGACAGAAAGTAAACTAAATTTCTGAAGAATATGGATTTAAAAAAAAAAAAAAAAGAAAAGAAACAACATTGAATACAGTTTTGAATAAGTATGATTGCTTCCATTTATACAGAAGCAGAATGAACTGTTTTACTGGAATCAATAACAGAAAATTTATTTTTCATACAATTTCTTGAACTTATTTCTTCTAAACCTGCAGTTGTTTTTCTCCTTGAAAATGGGTATTTCTTTGTACGTTGTTAGAAGAAGTACATTGTTATTTTGCGGTTTACACGGTAAAATGGCAGAATGTTGTAAGATTAATTTGAAGTTTCTGTATGATTTGGAATGAAAGGAAAAAAGCATTAATTAACTGCTGTGCAAATGAAGATTCACTTAGTTGCCATTATAAGTGTCCTGTTTGTAGGATGGAAATGCATATGGTCAAACGTCAGAGGATACCGACTTGTAGCGGCGATTTTATCGCCGCTACACAAAGCTAAAATAACTAGTCAAAGAATTGCACAAACTCGGTATCCATGTAACGCCAAAAATTGCCAAGGGGTACCAGTAAATATATTTTTACCCACACTACTGAAGGTAGGTGGGGTGTAATAAAAAGAGATTTTCGAAAGAAATGCCACCGACTGTCGGGCACTATGAAGGATATTTTTTATTCTTACTTTTGTGAATTTACATGGTGACGGCAATATAAAGATTCTAGCTCAGACAGTTTTAAACAGTTTTTGGATGTTGTTAAGAAATTTCGTGCCACACACTGAAGAAGCAGAAATTTCAGTACTTTTCCGTTTCACCGGCGCAGGCGATAAAGTCACTAATAATGGTACAACTGATGCCAAACGGAATATCCTCGATGGTAACCTTTTACACCTCAATTTCAAAACAAGTCGCAACTTTCTTTCAATACTGGCATACAATTACAAACGGAATTTTCTCACTGGTAACCTTTTACGCCTCATTTTCAAAACAAGTCGCAGCCATTTCTTACCAGATTGTTTCTTTCCATATTGGCATACAATTACGTAGAATTTTTACCAGATAGTTCAATTTTATGCCATTCGTGGTAATTAAGTCAATTAGGATGCATAGACTCCAACCTTCAGCAAACCTTGTCAGTAGTCAACGCGCGAACGACATTTTTACAACTTTGAAAATGTGCGCGTAGCGTATGTTGTAATTAACCATTCATTAATTTTAAATAATAATTAATTGTAATCAATTTTATTACATTTAAAATCCATATACATATAAAACTGAATAATTAAAAAAATATACCTTGTAAATTATATGCACATAATTAGAAATTTTCTTTTAACTCCTCAAGCATTCACTAATAAAAGTACTTCAAATCACTACTATCATAGAAAAAATAGAAGCTATAAATCATATTCTTTATCTGGATATGATTTACAGGAAATAAAATTTAAATAACCAAGATGATAATATAAGTATTAAACAAAATAAGCATAATTTATGAATGCAAAGATTTTATGTAGCATGCTAGCAAGCTAAGTTTGATTTTGAGAATTTTTTTTATAACACAGTTCTTCATTGCCTGCCATATTTATTTTTTCAATCAAAAACTGCTCAAGAGTTTTAAGACCTAATTTGGTCGAAATTCCGTCTGATTTTTTTAAACAATAGAAAAAATTTTTGCAAGCTGCATTTGAATGAGGTATTATTAAGACAGCAAGCATTACAGAAGGCAATACTTGTATTTAATACACCCTTCAATTTTTTAATTTGGCAATTCTCCCCATGCTATATAAATACGCAAATCTACATTTCTTTCAAATTCATCTACTTGATACATGGAAATTCAATTTCTACTTGATTAGACATTTTTCATCAATAATGGATGGAAAAAAGTATTCATCAAGTAAAGAACAGATGAAAATGAGACTTCAGTTCTCAAGTTGATGTCAGCAACTTAGCATGTTTTAGAAATGGATCACCAGTGGAAATTTATCAATTATATATGAACATGCAGTTACAAAAAAAAGCTCGCACAGATTGAAAAATGATTTCACTTCACTTTTCATTCAACTGGCATTTTTTAAACTATAGTCTTGTTCCGCACCATCACTAAATTTTCATTTTTTTTTGGTTACTATACTTCTGAAATGGAATAGACATTAGAGTAACATCTTCATTTCTTTAGAAATTACTGATGGTTTTACGAATCTAACAAATAAATTAATTAAAGTTCAAAAAGTTCTCTCAAATGTATCTAAGGAGCTTGTTGTTGTTGCAAATTAATATTTAATGTTAAAACAAAGGCAAAGTATTTTTCAAAATAACAAGTACAATTTGGTGGCGGTTGCCTGAAATTTTTTTAATGTTTTGCAATCTCTTTCCTTCATTCTCACTGTATCTGGTTTATCTCCAAAAAATTTATCACAGCATCCCACTGTCCCAAAATCTTGTTATAGATTCTAAAAGAGACAACCATCTCGTACTGCATATTTCAAAATTATGAGATTGCATTCTGTCCAAAATTGTTGAGCAACTTTGAAGCTATGCTTCCGTTTCGAACTTTTCCCAAGTAAAAAAGATATATTATCAACATTTCAAATTTCTGAGCCAATAATTTTTCAGTAGCTTTTTTTGCAGCTATATGCAAGAGGTGGCACGGACAACCTCGGGGATTATTATTGGTTGATGCATTTTGATAAATGTGCTAACCTTTAACTTTCCATCATATTACTAGCATTATCTGAAGAAAATGAAAGCAATTTTTCATTCTAAACCTTTGTTTTTTAAGTTTTCATTTAGACAATAAAAATACCTTCTCCTGTATTATTCGTGCATTCTAAATAGAAATCAATGAATAATTATCACTCCCTTTTCTTTATGTAGTATGTTAAACCATGGGTACAGTTGTTATCATTGTTATCATTACTTCCATCAGTACTTAGAGAAAATGATGTGTACTGCACACTGATTTTATAATATCAGCAAAGTATTTCTGCAAGCGTTTTCACAATCAGCATTTTGGTATGACGCAGATAATTTTTGCTATGGGCAGATCCGGAAATGCTTTGAAAGCTCTTGAATGTCGAAACAGAAAGTAGATATGTCAATTAAAAAACGAACAAAATAGCATTCGGCTTTTATAGGATCTGTTTATCATCTTTTATTAAGAAATTTGTTTTCTTTAGATTTCGGTGCCAAGTTCTATATGCTTTGAGAAAAAACAATGCCGTTTACGTCATCTTTTCCGCCCATGAGCAACTGAGAAGTCTTTGTTGCATACACTGCAGTGTGCGTGATTCACAGATTCCGGACGCTTTTAATGATGGAAATTTGAGAATATGAAGCTTTGATAAATTTGGCTTCTTTTCGTTCGGGCAGCTTATGATTAAAAATCTTCACTATTCCAGTCCAAGACACCGCTAAGCTCTCGCCGTAAACTACACAAGCACACAGCCTAACCGCATCAGCGAGGAACCTGGGGAGACAGACAATTGGGTGGAAACTATTGAAAGTCGTAACGGTTGGAGTTACTGATCTACGATTGGCTAATTCTTCAAAACTGGAAAGCACTCAACACGTGATTATGATAACACGAGTATTCAGCCAATCACGGATGAATATTGGTTCCGTTTTGTACTGGTTTCCCTGCTCTTTTTTGTAAAATCCGTTTTTTTCCATACTTTTCGTAGCTCGTAGTTGTCATGAATTTCGTAGAACTACGGAGAATCCGTAGTAGTTGGAGTCTATGAGGATGCAATCACACCGCTTACCTGAAGCCAAAAATATAGAAAAGGCAAAGGGTTAAATTCATCATTTCTAATGAGAATGCACTAACGAAGTAAAGCACTGCGGTTTTACATAATTTCCAAGTGAGCTATTCGTACAAATTGAAATAATTCTTGAATTTAAACTTTTATTCTAATTTAAGATTTAACTTGAAATTAATGTAGATAATTACTGAGAGAATTAGA